TTCTTCAGGAAAACAAAGAATAGTCAACTATTCGAAAGCGCTCGAGTTTGGGTCTTATTTTAACTTTAATAAATACACTTATAATGTTATTCTACGACCTTACGTTGACCCTTTTAAAAACTTTGAGAAGCTTTTACTATGTTGTTGTTGTTGTACAAAATGTCTACTAAAGTATATTTACATCCGTCTTTTCACGTTTTGTTTACATTCTTTGAAATGAGTGCGCACGCATACGCATTTAGATAGGTGCACGCGCATTTTCAGGACAGAAATAACTGAGTAATATTATAATAGATAGTTCTCGAATAAAAGTCTTACAATTATTTTTTTTCTCTATACGTCGTATTAATACCGATATTCAATACTGATTTACTGAAGTAATTAAAACCTCTGTTTACACGCATACAAATTATATACTTTGTGTGGCGTGTAGAAATAGATACAAACTGAATTTTGACCGTGACGATAAAAAATAAATCCAAATATGTTACACATACAAATCGATTACTCAGGCCTGATTGCATATTATTACGGTAATAACTATACTACCAGCAAAAGCAGGAAATAGATAAGGCATATAACACATACATGTAATACTGTAAAAAATGCGCTACGTACCGTGCTTAAAATAGCAGAATAACAAATTCACAAGATTGGAGAACAAGTAATATAATGATTAACCTCAATACACAGACATTAGAAACTGTTCTCTAAGTTAATAAAAACAAAAGACATATATTCACAAGTATATTTAATGGAGTGGAAAAACAGAGGTATGGAAATATACTCAACAACCTCAAGGTCGAATTTGGGGGAAGGGGGATAGACCCACCAACTCTGGAAAAGTTTTGACACCCTGCTTCCTACACCACTGCACTGTTTTTATGAACCCTCAGATGTTGGCTTTATGTGTGTAGGAAATTAAATTAGCAAAATACAAAAAAAGCAGAAAGAAAAGTTATTTGAACACATCTTATTAGATAGTCCTCTTTCAAAACAAATTTCTAATTAAAAAATGATTCCGCAAGAGCAGTGTTTTTGACAACCGAATTATTGACTAACATGTTGGAAACAAGTCCTATTGGAAATCGAGATTTCATTAAAGCTGG